TCAGTCAAGGTTCTGTCCTTTCTGTGGGAAGGAGCAAGGGTTGCCAACCTCCAGGTGGGTGCAAAGCAAAGAGAGAGATCACGGGATGGAAGTTGAAAGGAAGCAAACAACTGTGATGTATAGTGCCAAAAAAAAGGGTTCTTCACAGACTTGTAAATTCTTTTTTCAGTGTTCAGTTTACTGGAAGCAATTCAAACGCCATCAACACCAACGAACCATGCATATTACATCTCGTTTCGTGTATATCTTTATCAAAGTGGGTAGCGTTGAAATACCTATATGATATTAATCCATTTGGCAAACCCTCTAGTCATATAGTCACATTCATCAGATCCATTATATATCCATTATAACACACACAACTCCTTCTTCATTGATAAGGCTGCTAACTCTGAGATCCTTCTTGCCAATGTAAGCCAGCTTCATGAGAAGAACCTCAGTTCCACTGACTTCAGGGGTTCAAACAGCATTTTGACTAGGGTTTGTAGCACCCTAGAAAGGCTCCAGGTGGGAAATCTGTGTCTGACCAGTGGTACTGTGTCAAACCCTTGAAGAAACGTCTCACATGCCTATTAGATGACAACCTTTGCAACCTGTCATGTCCTAGGACCACAGATAGTGCCGCTACCTGTCATCTTGGTGTGTCAGGCCTAAAGCCCCACTTCCATCCATCATGCAGGAACAGCACCCACATCTTTATAAGATGGTCTCAACAGGTTCATGTTTTTAGAGATTGCCCAGCCTCTTAAAAGTTTCCCAGGTATGACCATAGATGTGCCTTGTGGCGGGTCATCTAGCCTGTACCATGACATCGATAATATCCGAAGGAAAACCAGTCTTCTCTAAGTTCATCTACGCAATCTCCAGGCAGTCAGCTGTAGCCAACTTCATTTGGGGTGCCAAACTGGTCCCTGCACTAGCAGACCTTGAACACCCGGAAATCTCCAAGGAGGAGACACTGACATTTTTATCAAGTCCAAGAACCAGGGCCTCCTGGGCAAAAAAAGAGCAATGAAGATCACTTCCACTTCTAACTTTTTAATAGTGTTGATTAGCTTGCTTATAAGGACTGTTGGTAGAAAAGCATAAGGAACTGTTAAAGAGAAGAAGAGATTGGATTTATACCCTGCCCTTCACTACCCAAAGGAGTCTCAGAGTGGCTTACAAACTCCTTTTCCCTTCCCCTCCCCACAACAGACACCCTGTGAGGTAGGTGGGGCTGAGAGAGCTCTGACAGAAACTGCTCTTTTTCAAGAACAGCTCTTATCAGAACTACGGCTTGCCCAAGGTCATCCAGCCAGGTGCAAGTGGAGGAATGGGGAATCAGGGGTCATTTCCTGCAGGAGCACACAGGAGCGGAGGTCCGGCAGTGAAGAGCCCAGGGGGCGGGCACATGCAACAAGCCCCACCCCCTACTCCCAGCAGCCCTCAGTCAGAGCAAGAAGCAGCCAGGTAAGCTGCAGTGCCCCCCCCAGTCCAAAACAGTCCAGTGGCACCTTTGAAACCAAGTTTTATTCAGGTACAAGCTCTCTCTCCTCTGCGAGGACAGATCTGCACGTCCCGTTCCCCCACCCCATAGCTAGCAATCCAAAACAGTCCAGTGGAGCCTGAGCGGTGGGTGTTGCCTTCTGACACAGTTCCGGTGATGTCAGGGGGCGTGGCATATGCTAATGAGTTGTGATAATGAGCTCCTGCACCTCTTTTTCTACGAAATGACCCCTGTGGGGAATCAAACCTGGTTCTCCCACATTAGAGTCTGCGCACTTAACCACTACACCAAACTGGCTCTCTCCTAGACTTGAGGTATGCTGCCCTCTAGCTCTTTTGGCTAATGGAGGAGGCAGTGATGGGGCTCCTGAAGAGGAGGATGAACATGTGAAGCGGGAGAAGGATTGCCTCTGCTGGAGCGAGTTCTTTTCTGCTCCCTGCCCTTCCAGCTCTCCCTAACCCGTTTGCTAATGTCTGCTGAGATCCAAGCAGTACCCGGGGTCTCAAACATCTGCAGTCCCATCTGGTTCCTCTGTGTGGGCATCATAGAAGGTGGAAAAGCCCAGGGCGGTCTGTAAGCCTGTAGCATCCAATCTGGGAGTGCACTAAAAACCACGGAGGAAATGGCGCGGCCATCATGTTTGTCCCTGCCTGGCTGCCGCTCTGCTGGCAATAGGCCAACGGGAGAGGCCCCTGTATCACCAAAGTCTCCCCCATCCTAACACTGAGTCTGGGGTCCAGATTGTGGGCCAAAAAGAAGCCACTGTCCTGCCAAGGGGTGTGTGTCTAACCATCTAAAACTTCCCGCGATGCTCCCACTTGCCCGGACGCTTCCGAGCCACCCACGCTGTGTCCACCAGCCCGGCCAGAACAGGCTGCCTACCATTGGGGCCTCTGGTGTTGCTGGGAGGAGGTTGTCGCCGGGCCTAAAGGTTCAGGTCCTTCAGGCCTTGCAGCAGCCTGTGCCACACCAGAGAGGCCTTCACACGGCTGATCTCTGATGCCCAAAGCTTCAGGTGGGAGGGGCCTCTCCTTCAAAGGATCTTTCTTCTTTTTTGTCCCTGCAGGAACCGCTTTTGTTGCCCCTAAAGGAGCCAGAGATCTTTCCTCGTCCATCCTGGAAGGTGAGCAATCAAGTCTGGTCTTTACAATATTTTCCAACAGCGGAGTTAGGCTGGAAACCTCTTGCTGGAGCTGCAGGACTATTCAGACTGGAGGATCGGCCTCGATCCAGCCAGTAGGGAGACTGGCAAAAAATTTGCTCAGCCCTGCCTGGAGCTGGAGGAGGCATGACCTAACCAGTCTGAAGGAGAACATCTCTTGCCTTGAAAACTCTATGGGGTCACCCTGAGTTGGCTGCAACTTGATAGCACTTTCCACCCCCCACAAGGGCTGCCTTGTTCTGGAGCTGGGGCAGAGAGAGTTGTGTTGGGAGATCTAGCCCCTCTTTGTCTTTTTGACTGTGCATAGTGTGGACTAGTGGGAGATGCACCAGGGAAGCACAGCACACTGTAAGGCTTGGTCTCTGGGACATCCTCTGTGGCTGTGGGGTTCAACCTACCCTCCACTTCTCATGGGGTCCCTTGACCAGAAATGAAAGTCACCTTTCCCACCACTGCGGGTGTCCCCCCCCACAAAGTGCAACTGGGGCAAGCAATGGGGCTAGTTGCAGGGGAACCTGTGCAGGGAACGATGGTAAGACCTCCAAGGCCATAACTGTGCATGAACATGCACTACGCCCCATCACAACCAGTGATTAAAAAGTGGAATTCACTGCCAGAGAATGTAGTGACGGACATGAGCATCTAAAAGGGTATTAGATTCATGGAGGACAGGTCTATCAGTGGCTACTAGCCATGGAAAGGCTGAAAGAGTTGAGTATGTTTAGCCTGGGAAAGAGAAGGCTTAGAGGGGACATGATTGCAGTCTTCAAGTATCTGAAGGGCTGTCATGTAGAAGATGGAGCGGATCTATTCTCTCTTGCTCCGGATTGCAAGAATAGATCTAATGGGTGGAAATTACAAGGGAGTCGTTGCCGGCTAAATATCAGGAGAAACTTCCTAACTATAAGAGTGGTTGAGCAGTGGAACAGACTGCCTTGGGAGGTGGTGGATACTCCTTCGCTGGACGTTTTCAAGTGGAGGCTGGGTATGTTGTAGGGCTCTCTTTCAGCTGTGCTCCTGCAGAGTGCAGGGGGTTGGACTAGATGACCTGCAAGGTCCCTTCCAACTCTAACATTCTATGATTCTATGGTGACTAAAGGAAACCGCTCTCTTCAGAGGCAGTTGACCTCAGTGAATCCCAGTGCCAGGAGGCAACCTGGGGGGAAGTTTCAGTTGTTGACCCTCCAGAGGAACTGGTTGGCTACTATGTGAGACAGGATGCTGGACCAGATGGACCACTGGCCTGATCCAGCAGGGCTCTTCTTATGTTCTCTGTAAGGTGAGGGGGTTCCATGGCAGGTGGGGGGGGAGAGAAATGTCACCAAGCAGTCCTGTGGCACCCAAAAGGAACTCACACTTCTTGTGCCAGGCGCTGCCCCAGAGCCCCTTTCTCCTAGGCAGCCGAGTCAACAGGCAAGGTGAAACCCTCACTGTCTGGCACCACCTTGGCATTGCACACCTTGGCTTGCCACCATGCAGCCCTCTGAGGGAGTGCATCGTCCAGGGCATGAAAATGGGTCGCATTCCCTTCTGGAGAGCATCCAGGGAGCTACAGAGGGAAAACTGGAGCCAGGATTCGCTCTCTGTGCCTCTTCGAATGTGTGTGAGAGAGAAGCACAAAGGACCCCACCTCTCCTAGCCTGCTGCTTTTAAGTGACCCCCCCCCTCCAATCCCTAGATGCAGAAAAGAGGCACAGAAGCAGTCACATGAAGAGAATGTAAGGGGGGGGGAGTTGCGAGCTGCGGCAGCTCCCGA